GTGCTCACAAGCACGCTAGGACAGTTGCCATTTAAAAAAGAAAGAGTTGCCATCTGCTTACGTGCATGCTAGGGCAGTTTGCCATGTACCATGCCTAACATATGGCAACTGACATGTTCGGGTAAAAAAAAAAGAGTTGCCATCTGCTTGCAATTACACTAGGGCAGTTGCCATGTACACTGCAAAACGCATGGCAACTGGCATCTTGGGTGTGGGAGAGGAGGCGGGCGTGTGGGCAAGATGGCAAACTGCCCACACACCAGCCCTTGTGCGTGACTGAAAACTGATGTGTGGGCGAACTGCTAAACGTCCACACACCGATCCCTCCGTGTGGTAAAACGGATGTGTGGGCGACCTCTCTCACACACCACACACGCGAGTTATCCTACATGGCATACAAAATCGGCTAATTCATGCCAAGATTCGTGCAGAAGTTACTGGACGGTGATGGAGGCGTGTGGGTAAATTGGCTACAGCCCACACGCGTGGGCGTTAACATTTCCGATTAAATTACTACTTACTCCCTTTATAAAAAAATATAAGAGTGTTTAGGTACCTAAACTCTTTAGTATTTCTTTACAGAGGGAGTATTTCTTCACAAAAGGAGTACAACTTGACAAAACTCAACTAAAAGAAGATGCATAATGAAAAACGAAATCATCTCATATATATTTGTTATTTGTAAATATTCATATATTCTCCAATAGTTTGTCAAACCTCTCAAAGTTTGACTCGGGACAAATGTAATATGCACTATATTTTAGCATTGAGGAGTACTTGGAAAATATCATCGTCTACAAGCAAATTAATGGCCACCATGAATAAGCTAATTATTAATAATCTTGTGCACGACGGCATCCTTGACGACGGTCAAATCGCACCTGACCGTGAAGCAGCCCGCATCTTGCAGCGTGGTCTTCTCCACAAACTTGATAGCGCCCCAACAACTCTTGACGCCCTTCGACTCGAAGGTCTGCGCCACGCTCACAGGTTTCGAATCTCCGGGCACTTTGCCGTCTTTTCCCAGCAAGCTCAGAGTGAACTTGGCCTTCACGCTCGTCGCCTTTGCCCCTCCCACGAGGTGCAGGAAGGCCGCTGCGTAGCCAGGTCCCCGGCTATCGCCGTCGGGGTAGAACCTGATGTTCCAGTTGCAGCCGCCGGCGCTGAACGTCGTTGAGCTCGCGAACTTGTCGACGCCGATGGCGCCACTCAGCAACGAGTAGTTGTCTACCATGAAATTGTGCGCCGTGGTGGCGGTCGGCGTCATGCACCTCGACGACGTCTCGGCCGCCGGCGCGAGCGGCTTGCCCAAACAAGTGGTGATGTTGTTCCCCATGGCAAGCGCAACACGGCGTGCAGCGTGTGCACTGGTCTCCCCAAAGGAAACGTGGCCGTTTTCTGTTCAGGCGTGAGATTAACCTAGGGCTCTTTCACAGTTTGTTTGACATAATATAGGATACCGAGTAGGAAGCGTTAGCGACTTTCTAAAAAAAACAGAATTGTTAACGACCAAAACTGAAAACGGTTATTCGAACTAGTCCATCGGACTCGATTCAAACTAGTAGCATAGAGTATATTACATAAATTTACGGAAAAACAAACGCCCACACGTGTGGGCGTTTGCAGATCGCCCACACGCCTCCATCACCACTCATTTTTCCACATAGATGACATCAGCAAAAAAAAATTTGGTTCTCGGCTTAAAAATGTTTTATCTCCTAAATAAAAAAGCGAACTAAAAATCCGTTTTCACCATTAAATCCGTCTCGACGAGATCTTCAAAACTAGACCCCATGTTGATATGTTTCGACGAATTTTTTTTCCACAGAAGTTGCCATGATGTTTACATTATAGTTGCCATAGTGCTTAAACTAAAGTTGCCATGTGGCAATTTTAGTTTGTAGATCATGACAATTTTAGTTTTTTGATGATGACAATTCCAGTACTTTGACCATGAAAATATTTTTTTTATTGAACCATGGCAACTTTAAGTGCATGTATCATGGCAATTTTAGTTTATGGTGCATGGCAAGTCTAGTTTCTTAGTTCTCCGTTTTATAATATGTTAAAATTTACTTTTAAATGTAAAAGAAAATAGTTGAAATATATCATGCAACTTCAGTGTAAATATCATGGCAATTCATGTGCAATAGACATGGCAATTTTTAACAAAAAAAAATCGCTGAAATATATCGATATGAGATCTAGTTTTGAAGATCTCGTCGCGAGGGATTTAATGATGAAAACGGATCTTCAATTGGATTTTTCATTTAAGAGATAAAACATTTTTAAAAACTGAAAATCTAAAAAGATTCTCGCATGCATGCATGTGATGACGTGACAATCTATTTGCATTAGAAACGTGTGGTGCGTCTTCTTTCCTGCCACACATGTGGCAGTTATCGACGTCCTAAATTTAAACTGAATGTAACTAAAATTGCATAAAAATGAAAGAAACCTAGTCGACCTCGGCCATGAGCTTCTCCCACTTTGGATCGCCGTTGACGTCCTTATCGCTCCCGCTGCCGTCAGACCCAGAGTCAGTCCCCATTGCTGGAACAAATATCGATGACCGATGCGATGGACTACCCGGCTCCGTCGGTCTCCCCAACTTGTAGAGCTCGAACTATCGGCTCTCCTCCTCGACACGCTCCAGATATAGGCAACGGAGCTTCGCCATGTACTCCTTGTCAGCGCACTCCGCCTCGAGGCGTTCGCAGGCCTCCCGGTCCTCCCGTCATTCACGTGGAAAGGCCACTCTGGGGTTAACGAGAACCAAATCCGACATGGCGGATCCGAGGGGGAAATTGAGTCATGCCCACCCTGCCTGCGCTGTAGATTGATAGGAATCGATCCAGATGCGGAGGTGGGTTTCGGGGTCCAAGATCTCGGCCACCCACATCCCCTAACGACTGATGCCGCATGCCGAGGTACCTCCTCTTTTGCGACGGCGGTGTTGGCAGGTCAGATCCGAGAGGAGGACACGTTGCTTCGGAGGAACTGCCGCGATAGACTCAGGATGGGTGTGCGTGGCGGCATGGATCGACACTTTTGATCGACAATAGCGGCCTACGCTACCTGCATCCGTCCATTTGGGCGGCGGGGCGAAGTCGAAGTGGATGCGGGGGAACGACGGCGGGGATGCGGGGTGCTTGGGCGGTGGCGGAATGGATGAGGTTGAGCAGTGGTAGGGGGGGTTTTACTCCCGCGGTGAGCGGTTGGGTATATTTAAGAGTCTGGGTGGCCACGAAGTAATTTTTTTACTCCTCTAATGCATATAGTAGATCGGTTAGGTGCAATTTAAAGGAGCAAAACCGAAATTTTACTCCTCTTTTTTACCTTAAAAGACGTCTTTATTCAGTAGATAATTATGTTACATCGTTCACCATAAGAGGTACAATAGATGGGGAAGGATCATCTAACCAAACCCCACTACCCTGGAGCTTAGCCAGTTGGGCTTGTTCATCAGCTACAAATTTTATTTTCCTACTCGCATGCTTATACTTAACCCTAACAAATTTTAGCTCCATAGAAAAACAATCATGAAAAATCGCTGCAGCAATGCCGGCCTCTCGCCCTTCATAATTTCTATTAATTCACTAGTATCAGAACTCACAACAACTCTATTACAATCCATGGCTTGAGCTAAAGAACAAGTCATGATTGAGAGCCATAGCTTCAGCCAAAAGATAATCATGAACCATATCCAAACGTGGGTTACTCCGGAATTTTACTCCTCTAATGCATTTTAGGGGATCAATTAGAGAGGGCCTAACACATTTTTTATGGTGCCGAAACGAGCATGATCAAAATGGGGGCGTGCCAAAATATTGCTGAGGGAAATTCGCAGCCAAAAGCACACCAGCACGCATACAAATAATCATAACGTGTTACCAAAATATTGGATGTGATCCAAATTTTTTGCAGCAATTCAAATGGATGCCGGCAAGCCAGTCTACGCCAAAAATTTGGCACTCGGGCTTAGTTTACAGCAAACGAATGAAAAATGTTGGGGGCCCTCTCTTCTGCTCCGAGATCTGTGCAAAGTAACGGGCGGTTGAAATGTGCTAGGCTAACGTTCCCCCAGATATCGTAAAAATATAATGTCAAAGAGACATCAATGATGCACACGATTAATTTATTAGGTAGTAAGAAGAAACAAGACAATCAACGGTCATGCTGTAGCGGTCAGCTGCACATAACAATAGCATCAACCATCACCCTCGGCTGTACATGGTTTCAGATAGGATAATGTTAATTGACGAATGTTCTTTAGGAGGGAGGCCCTAGCGAATGCCCGCACAATGGCTTGATCGTAAATCAACCAATGGCAATTTTTGTGAAAAATATCTTTAAAAAACGAAAACTGCAAACCCCTACGACTAAAGGTGCCACCCCTCTACATTAAAACTGCCACTCCAATCGTCCGCAAATACCACCTACACCCTCCTCTCCGCCTCCGCCGACGAACGTTTGCCAGTTATTGGGATAGAAGCCAACCATGGAAGGCCAGATGATGGCTAAGATTATCCCACATTGTTTGATCTGATCCGTTTGTTTACATGGATCCAATGAACGTGATTATCAGTTAGAGTAATGCTACGTCTACAAAAGGTTACTTCTAATTTTTACTGGGAAGCTGATGTGGAGTATGATTGATAATAGGGAGATGAAGAGGCCCACTCCAGTTGAATTCAGGTGGGAGAGAGAGAATTAATTTGAAATTTTAAGTAAAACATTTGCAGATCCTCAGTAGGTCTAGCATTAGGAGAATCTTTCGATGATTACATCACCCATGACCTTCCTGATAGGGGTTAGATCCAACCGTGCCGAAGAGTGAAGGGGTGTGACAGTGCAGTACATGGATTAGAAACGAGTGGTCCGAGACATTTGCCGAAGGACAAAGGTGTGCGTAACAGTACAAAATGGATTAGGAACGAGCGGCGCTGAGTGTAACACAGTACATTGGCACAAGACTCTGGGCACTTGATACCTTTTGCATGCAGGAACACAACCCAACAAAATTACAACAGCACGTCATGTCTACGCTCAGCTTCACCGTCCTCCGGAGAGAGCCCGTGCTCGTCGGCCCAGCGTCGCCGACGACACCGCGGGAGAAGAAACGCCTCTCCGACGTCGACGACCAAGACGAGCTGCGGTCGCACGTCCGCGGCATCTTCTTCTATCGCCGCGGTGGGCTCGCGCGTGGCGACCCCGTGGACACCATCCGCCGAGCCTTGTCCGAGGCGCTGGTGCACTACTACCCGCTCGCCGGGCGGCTGCGCGAGGTGGAGGACCGGAAACTGGTCGTCGACTGCACCGGCCAAGGGGTGACGTTTGTCGAGGCGGACGCCGACGTGCGCCTGGTGGATCTCGAGGCCGACGTGCCCGGGCTGATGCCGCCATTCCCGTGGATTGAGGAGCTCTGCTTCGAGGTGGAAGGCTCCAACGCTGTGCTCAACTGCCCCTTGGTGGTCATTCAGGTAAGCATTTCATATTGTCACATTATCCACGCACAATTTCAGGCTAACAACTTTTCTTGCCGATGGTCAGGTCACGCGGCTCCTGTGCGGCGGCTTCGCCGTGTGGCATAGCTTCAACCACACCGTCGCCGACGCCACGGGAATCATCCAGTTCCTGAACGCCGTTGCCGAGCTCGCTCGAGGCCTCCCTGCGCCGACCGTCGCGCCTGCATGGTCACGCGAGGTTCTTGACGCGCGAAGCCCCCCAACGCCCTCATTCCCGCACCCGGAGTACGATCAAGTGCCCCTGACGCCGACACCAACACAGGACGACATTGTAAGGCGCGCCTTCGTGTTCGGACCTTCAGACGTCGCCGCAATCAAGAAAGGCCTGCCGCCTCACCTCCGAGACAGGGCAACGAGCTTCGAGGTGCTCGCGGCGGTGCTGTGGCGCGCCCGCACAGCGGCGTTGAGGACGCTCCGGTCGGACGAGGAGGCGCGCCTGGTGACCGTCGTCAGCGTGAGGAGGCACAGCAGCGCCCTGCGCCTCCCCGACGGCTACTACGGCTTCGCTTGCGCGTACGTCACCGTGGTGATGGCCGCCGGCACGCTGCTCAGCTGCTCATTGGCGGACGTGGTGGAGCAGTTGCGGGAGGCCAAGGCGTCAGTGACACCCGAGTATATCCGCTCCATGGCGGACCTTCTGGTGCTCCGTGGCCGGCCGTCTTTGGCGAGGGCAAACGTGTTCCTCCTGTCTGACCTCCGGCACGTTGGGTTCCAACGCGTGGACTTCGGGTGGGGCGAGCCGGTGTACAGCGGTCCCTCTCACGTGAACTTCCGGAATGCCTTCTTTGTGGCTGTCAAGAACAGCGACGGGGCGGACGCGGTGGCCGTGCCGGTGGCACTGCCAACCATGGCCATGGACAAGTTCGCGGCGGAGATCCAGAGCTTGCTCAAGGATAGTATTAAACAGCCCTAGAAAATTCTTAAGCTGAAAATTATGCAAGTTTTTTCTCCCTCCTATTCGAACCAAAAAGTCCTGATGAAAAATAAAATGTTGCATCGAAGGGCGGTGTAGGTTGATGCATTTTTTTTAACACAGTACAAACGCAAGTGCTCATATACACGCGCATGCACTCATCCCTATGAACGCACACACGCACATCCTACTCATATGAGCACCTCTGAAAGACTGAGCAGACATATCATCTTGAAATTTACGAAGTCACCGTAGGCACTTCGTCATTGACAGGAACGTCTCCTCGCACCGAATGCGCATCTGGGGATACCACAGTCCCTCTAACCATCCAACCATTGGTTGGTTCGCAGGTTGATGCATTGTCGTAAGGTGAGTGAGACCTATAACGAAGATAGATGATCAAATGCTATCATTCAATAATTCATGATGATATAGCTGTTCTCGGTAATATATATACATTAGTTAGTTTATTTTGTGTTATTTATACAGATATGCACATTAGTAAATATTTGAAGTTGTGCGTTTGCCCCAAGTCAAACTTTGTCAAGTTTGACTTTGTATATCATGGAAAATAAATTTACCGCTACAACATCAAATACATATCATATTAAAAATATATTTTGCAATGAATCTAACGAAGCCAGTTGGTCTTGAAGTTTTATTTAATAGAATCGGCCAAACTAAAAATGTTTAACTTGGGATAAACCTAAAAGAACCGAATATTAGGGAACGGAAGGAGTAGATCTCAACCATTGAGTTACACAAAAGCTATACTAGGAGTTGGACTTAGACTTTTCAGAAGCGTAACTCTCGGGATTTTTTCAGATTCAAATGAAATTTTTGATCGAGATTGTTATTTTTGCTCCCCGCACAAGAAATCATCAAATTTACTATTTCAAAATTTAGCCGAAAGTACTTGGCCCGCCTCAATATTTTTATTCCTCAAACAAACTCCTTCAGAGCTATGGACCAAACTAAAATTTCTTCCTTTTTCACCTTAACCCCCTCCAGTACCGCACAGTACATATGTCTCATCCCTTCATGCCAAGATTGATACCCAGCTCCGACCATTGGGGCTTATTGTTGTCATTAGCATCCTGATCCAATATCCTTGGTCCCTAGAGGTAGAGTCATCAGATTAGCGACGATAAAGGTGCCAACATTGCCTCCTAAACCTGTTATCACCGCTTCGACTTACCCTACATTATTGTCCCACCACTTGTCTTCCCCAACCCTATGATAGACTGTGTCGCTAATCTACCATTATCCTGACAAGTTTTATAGTCTATTTTTTTCAAGAACAACTATATACTTTTTCAGCATTTCAGGGATCGCTGCACATTAACCTGGAGCCGGCTTAGTTCATCAGTGGAACAATGAAGGAAGGTTTGGTTTCTAGAGGCCACCATGGTTTGGCAATACTACCATGGTCGTGTTTGCTATTCGCTGGTAGAGATAGAGCGAACGAGCAATGCAAATCAACCAGGACTACAATCCTATCTTTTTCTTGAAAAAACAAATTTTGTAAGGCATAGTATGCAATATTCCTAAAATGTGAAATCGAGTAGCTTATAAGAAAAAAAAACCAAGAATTATCATGGCAACGTAAAAAGTGTGGTAAAACGTAGATAACTAAAATTTAACATGGTCCGTACACGACTGCATAATATTTTGCTTGCTTAATGTGAGTAGTCACGTCACCTTCTAGGTGCAGGACACCCCCTTCAGTATATCCTCCATGAGCAAAGGACAACTAGCTACGAGTTGCTTGAATCCATTAGTTGCCAGGACATCACATAGTTTGTCCCGTGGTGAACTCATAAACTGAATGCAAGCTTCCTTAAGATCCTCACAGTGATGCTGCTCTGCTAGAAGCAACGTGGTTGCAACCGTCTCGACATCGATGCCCTCATACAGCTTTTCTTCACACATGACCTTCAACCTATCTACCCCGTACCTGTCCGCGGCAACTAGCAAGTGTTGTAGCCTTACAATTTTGCCTTCGTCTTCGTCATCATCTAGCATAGCATCCATGTACGATACACGAAATGAAGAAGCGCTTCAAAGACATGGGGCTCCATGTCGTCCACCATGATGTGCTGTGTCTTGCTTTCCTTCATCGCTCCAAAGAGCTTGGCCTTGAAAACCTGAGAACGTGCAGCCAACATGCATCTATGAGCTCTGAACAGCTGGTCGCGCACACTGAACGTCACATTTGCACCTACTCCATCCCGGAGCATGCGCTCGAGGCTCTCTCACAGACTCGGCGGCGGCACCTCGACAGGTCTCCTGTTGCGCACCATCCGAGTTTCATGTATGACCTGGAGAACGCATCTGATCGTGAAACGGTTGTTTGTTGGCGTCCGACAGAGCTCTAAGCGTCGATTTCTGAATGTATCTCATGTACCCCCAACTGTAGTGTGGTGGACAGAATATATGTTCTCCGTAATCGGAGGTTGTAACTTGTACCTGGCCGTCTAATTTCTTGACCAGGTCCAAGGAGAACCGCGCCCTCACGTTGTTCGCTTGGCTGGTGCAATGCAGATAACAGGAGGCCATGTCGCTAGATTTGTCTTTCTGCTCCCCGTCAGGGGTAGAACCTGATCGTCCACGCGTAGCCGCCGACGTTGAACGTGCTCGAGCTGACAGACTTGCCGGCGCCGATGCCCTCAAGCAGCGGGTAATTGCGCACCACGAAATTGTGGGCCGAGATGGCGCTCTCATTGGAGCAAGTCGACGACGTCTCTCGTCCGAAATTCAAAACACAGACTGGCACTCGCCATGGAGGAAAAGTCCGCTGTTGGTGTTGCCCATCGCAGAAGTAGGACGATGGGTAGGTCACAACTTACGAGTGTTGGTCTTGTGTATATATACGGAGAACTTACCTTATTATTGCCACATACGGCCGGGGTCGTACTATATATTCTCTCCGCTCTGCCATGTAAGGAGAAGAGGCCTCATAGTCTCCCCAAAAATCTAGACATACAAAGACTTACACGCTTTTACACGCTCCTTCCATCTAATAACCAATCACAAACCTCTTTCCCCCCTGATTTTCAGGGGTGGTCCGCCCCGCGCACCTATTGACCAATCAAGGTTAGCCATCCTGTAAAAGCCTGTAAATCGTTTGTACGTGTAGCATTGCCGATAGTCTCCCTCTTGAGGCCCCTCCTTAGATTTTGACACGTCATCAATGACACACATCTTAAAGCGAGCCTGATTCCCTAATTAGTTGATACATACATCAACTAGATATTGCAATATTCGTACGATACAGTATCAATCCGATCGATACTTTCCATCTAACGAAAGATAACGAACACGGCGATCTTCTCGCTAGCTTGCCGCTGCATCAGACCTCGGCGCCATCGTGACCTATCCCATGGCGACCCCTCCATGCGCCGGTGACGACAACCCTCACGGAAACGGCGGCGCCATCGTGAGCTCTCCCTACGCTGGTGATGCATGCTCGTCGTCCCTCGTGAAACCAACAGCAACAGCCACATGAAGGTCTGATACTTACAACAGCTTGTGCTGATAAATAACTCTCTCAACGTACCCAAAGTTTATCATGTATCAATAAATATCAGAAAGTTGTTGTTGGAATTCCAATTGTTTGGCCAATGTCAACATAGAGTCTTAAGATGTCACATATCACTGACAGAATTTTGAAGAAGCTCAACATCAATTTTAATGTGGTAAAATATCTGAATGTTTATAATCACAACACATAGATACTGTGATCCCAGAACTCTGAATGTTTTTGTCTAATGACCTCTGAACGTTCACAACTCTGAATATTCACATCTCTGAATGTCAGAATGACTAGAAATCTGCAAGGTCTCCACGGGGAGATGGCCGGCTTGCTGCCGACGCCGGCGTTGCCGTGTTGGCAGGTTTGTGGTGGAGACGGTGAATATCATCATGTGGCTGTTGCTGTTGGTTCCGCGAGGGACGACGAGCACGTCCGCGTCACCGACGCAGGGAGAACTCACGATGGTGCCGCCATTTCCGTGAGGCTCGTCGTCACCGGCGCATGGAGGGGTCGCCATGGGATAGGTCGCGATGGCGCCGAGGTCTGGAAGATCGCCGTGTTCGTTCTCTTTCATTAGATGGAAAGTATCATACTGTATCGTACGAATACTGCAATATCTAGTTGATGTACGTATCAACTAATTAGGGAATTAGGCCCGCTTTAAGATATGTGCCACTGATGACGTGTCAAAATCTGAGGACGTGCCCAGGGAGACTATGAGGCCCCGTCCCATAGGATTTTCTTCCGGAGAAGAAACTCCGAGACAAGAACAACGACGGTGCTGAGTCAATATGGGAATTAGAGATCTGTACGAGTTCTTGTCAAACTAAGAGTCCTTTTGCATGCGTTCTGGTTCTTTTTTTTTCAGACACACTTTATTGGTTTACATAATGGACGTGTCTAGCTGGCGGCCAGGGGCTCGTTAGCGTTCGCGAGCGGCCGGCCCCTGGTCACACCAAAGGCAGCACGTCTAGTCCCTACCGCATACTAAAAAGACAAAATTACTGTAATCTAAAAAATGCTAAAAAGAGCACTGCTAATTATTCATTTTATGTGGTCTTTTCTCACGTGATGGATGCCTGCATGCCATTGTATTAATGTTTCTTATGTTCGTCCTTTATGTATTAATTTTTGGTTTTTAAAATTATAAAAGACATATCTTCTAGACCGCGTGTCAAAATTCAAATTTGTTTTCACCGTTGAAACGCTCGCAACGTGCTCTTCAAATGTAGACCCCGCATGGGGATGTTTCGACGAACTAGTCTTCCTGCCAACTAAATATCAATGTGTGTGTAACTAGACTACATTGCCGCGCCAACTGAGCATATGTGTGTGTAACTAGTTCTACCAACTAAACAGGCAATATCACCAATGGTGCTTAAACTTGCCACCGATGTTCACTTTAGGGCCTAAACTTGAAAAATACTCTGAACTGGTACTAGAACTTGGCACAAGCGTGCCAATA